TTGCGAGTGACAACGAATGCATAGTGAATGACAACATTTGAGTACAAGTGACTGTTTTGATTTTTTGAATGATTTTATTGTTAATTAAAAATTAAGCCTCACTGTACTGAATGAGGTGAGGAAACGTTATATTTTGGTGATTACTTTTTCCATAATCATTTTTGGCTAATTTGTGTGTGAGGGTGACAACATCTGTAAGTGGAAGTTATTACAGAGGTGTAGCAATTGACAACTATTGCATAGTGAATGACAGCATTTGAGTACTAGTGATTGTTGAAGATGATATTTTGAATGTTTATATTGCGATTGACAACGAATGTATAGTGAATGACAACAGTTGAGCATCAGTGACTGTTTATATGTAGAAGAGCGAAGATGGTCTTGGAAGGAGATTCATCGAAATCAGTACAGAATGGATTCATGTTGTTTAGGAAGGAGTTTTATGAGAAATTATGGGTAAAGAGGTCAAAGCGTTTTAAGGAATAGAATAAGGAAGTGTCAAAGGCATGGAAAGAGTTGTGTGAGGAGGAAAAAAAGAGGTACAATGACAAGGCTAGGGAATCAAGGCTTGAGAGAAAGAAAACAAGGAAGAACAAAATTCTATTCCAAACCCGGTGCTCTCTGTCCCAATTCAGGTCATTGGCGGACTTTGTAAATGATAATGCAAGTTTGAGGGAGAGAGTAGAGAAGATAGGGTTCTCAAAGTTGCTGCATGTAGCATGTGAGAGACTCCCATGTGACCTACTAGTGGTTTTTCTTCGTTCATATGATCTAGCAACACATGAATTCAGAATTAGGGGTATTTCAAAGGAATTCAAGCAAGAAGATGTTAAAATATTTCTTGGTTTACCTAACACTGAGGAAGTAGTAAAGGCCAAAGTAGATGAAAATAATCCAACATATTAACAATTGAAGAGGGAGTACTATAAAGTGTCATTTACCAAGATATTAAATGACATTAAATCTGGACAGCATGATGATAAATTTGAGTTTTTGTTTATGTTGTACACCCTTGGAACCTTTCTATGTCCAAATTCAAGGGATAAAGTAAGTGACCGGTTACTGAAGTTGATAGCTTGCACCATGAATGAGTTTGAGCATTATGATTGGGCTACATATATTATGAAGGACTTGGCGAAAGAGTTGAAGGCTTATGTTAAAGCATTCAGAAGTGGTGGGAGCTCTAATGTGAACGGCTGTGTGTACTTGCTGTTGGTATGTAATGTAATGTAATTTGTCAATGTTTGATTTAATTGATATTTATATAATTTTATTTATTTCATGTTGCAGATATATTTTTGCGAGCACTTCAGGCTGAAAAAAATGATGTGCATGATGCTGCAAATGCTATTGAGTACTGGAATGAGGTGAGAGTTAAAGAAGTTGTTAAGATAGAGAGGGAGAGCAACATAGGGTTGTTGTTTGGAGGGACACAAAGAGATGTGAAAGTGGGGCAAGAGGACAAAGTAGGAGTTCCTTATCTAGACCCGGTATGTGTTACTTTGTGTAGTGTTTTTAGTTGTTTAGTATGTGGATTATGTTGAATTTGATGGTATTTGTTGCAGGAGTTGAACAATCTATATGGACGATTGGTGACTATTATTGATGAGAGCAATAAAAGACTACTCAATGTAATTGCGGAAGAGTTGCTGAAGGTTCAGCTGACAAAAGAGACACATAAAAAAGGCGTCCAAGAGGGAAGTAAGGAGCCAATTGAGGTGGAAGAAGAAGGAGTTGGAAGAGATGATGACAGTTTTCACATTGATGAAGATTTTGAGGACAATGTGGGTGGGAATAATGATGAGTCTCCCATAGAAGGAGGAGAAGAGGGTAAATCTGTACAAACAGAAGAAGGAGGAGAAGAGGAAGACAATGATAAATGTAGCAGTGAAGAAGATGGAGTAGAAGAAGTTGATGATGATAAATCTGCCAGTGAAGAAGAAGGAAGAGGAGAAGGTGACAAGGATAAATCTACCAGTGAAGAAGAAGGAGAAGGAGAAGGTGATGATGATGAGGCTACCAATGAAGGACAAGCAATCTGTGATGTGAGTGGGGAAGGAGTGGAGGAGGGACAACAACTCTGAAGATCAAAGAGGGTGATTAAACCAACGGTTAGATCTCCATAGATCTGGATGAAGGAAATGCATAAGAGAAAGAGGACTTTGGAGGACAAGGACAAATTTTTTAAAATCATATCCAGGATGCCTTCACGGGATCAGGATGACCAGTAAGTTATTATAAAATGACAACTTTTCATTATGTTTTCACCCGTCACTTATATGAGTTGACAACAAAATCATATCCAGGACTGAATTATTTTTTGTTCCTTTTTCAGGCCAATAGTTGATATGCATGATGAAGTACTCACTTAGGAAGAACTACTTTCACTGGGTGGAATCCAAGAAATAAACATGCAGCTGATGTCGCTTGTATGTAAGACCTTGATGGCGGATATGAAAGAGGAAGGAAATGTGAAAAGACACTTGTTTGATGCCTACTTCATGGTTAGATGAATAACTTATTTCATTGCCTTATCGATATTTGCTTGTTTTTAACACAAGCTTAAATTATAACTGAAAATGGTGTCACGTCTTGTTAGTTGGAGGGCTTCTGAGCACAAGAAGCAAATATTACCTAAGCATGTTGGGTACAACATAGGAGATTGTGATCTGATTTTTGGGCCTGCTCTTGTGGCTGACCACTGGTTCTGTTATGTCCTCCAGTCGAAGACATTTAATTTTTATGTGCTTGATTCGATGAAGGTCGATGGTGTTAAGCAGAAGAAAGGCAAGAAAAAGGGATTTCTGGAGGATCCTAAAGGAGCTACTCACAATGCATGCGAAAGAACTGAATAAGAGAACCTTAATAATGGTGTTATTATTATATTAATTTGTTACTTGTATAAATTTGTTACTTACTATGGTCATGTGTTTATGTTTAGAGGGATCGCTTTTATGATATAATTGAATTGGTCAAACCAGAGCTCATTGGGAAGAAGCCAAAGGTAGATATAATTATGCCTCATATTCCACAACAAACCAACTTGTGAGTGCCATTGACTCTGACCAATCATTATTGAACATAAATTATTTTTAGTTGACTAACAATTTATGAATGACTTTTTTTGCCCAGGAAAGACTGCGGTGTACATGTTTTGATATGGTTAAGCAAATGGTCCCCGGATGTGGCTTTGGATTACATAGATGAACAAGTCACTATATTTATACTTGAGCTGTTATGGTGGTTGGTTAACCATGAGGGAAACGTTAAGAGGGCTGAAGCTTTGAAGCTACTTCAAGAAGAAAAGAAGACTACAAAGCGGTAGCATTTATCCAAGTAGTATACATGGTTGTTTGTGGTTGGTGTTAGGCTTTATATTACAAATGAACCGCTTGTTTTGTACAGAAACAAACCGTTTGCCAAATGGTGATCTTATGTCTGGTGTGTGCGTGTACTTTGGAAACACCACTTATATTGTAAGAAATTCAAGTTCTGATAATGTATGAACCACGTTGACAACTATTATAAATGGTTTAATACCATTTCCGTATTTATTGACACCATGCTATTAGGTAAGTTCATTACATGTTCTAGTTACTTTGAAATGTAAACTCTTGATAGGGACGTTGACATCACTTTCATTAAGAAGGACAATTCCTTTATATATGTTGACTACACGTGAACTAGTAATTTGTATTTCAGCCAATCAAAAAGAAACCTGGGGTAAAGACTTGCATAAAAATAGGAGTTGCGTGTTTACAACACTCACGAAGATAATGATAACACTTTCATATATAATGACAACACAGAAACTGGAAAGTTTGCTTCCGGGGATACCCTATGTAGGAAAAGGAAGTAATCAGATGTCCTCCTTATTTTGCACGTTGACAACATTTTCATATATAATGACAACACCATCATAAAATTAAACAGCACTTGCATATGAAGTGATGATACCATCATTTAAGTTAACACCGAAAGTGAAAGTTTGAATGGGGAGAGCAATGGAGAAACCTGGGTAGCATAAGTGACAACAATTTTAAATATAGTGACAACACTATCATAGCAGTTAACGACACGTAAAGCTACAAGTCGCATTCAGGGGCAACAGATAGGGAAGTCGAGCAAATCAGATGTTTCTCATAGTTATACAAGATGACAACACTTCTATATATAATGACAACATGATCAAATTAATTAATAACATGGAAAATGGATGTTGCAGTTAGGGGAAACTGATCCGGACACAAGGATGTTATTCTCGCAGCATGCACGTGCACAACACTTTAAACCATAATGACAATGTCATCATATGAATTGACAACACAAACACTGGAACTTCCGTTCAGGGGAATGAAGGGAACTAGCCACTGATCAGGGAATCAAGCAACATTGGAAGCATGTTGACAACACAATTATATGGAATCACAACACATTTGTATATGATGACTAAATCTAAGCTGCAAAGTTGAGTTCTAGAGAACCAGTCACTAATATTAGACGTAACTAAGTTCAGTGAAAATGGCATAAAGGTCAAGTTAATAAAACATCTTCATTCATTATAGGGCAATAATGTGAAGGAGTTCAGAAGATTGGTTCCACAATATCATTCACTATTTAACATTGACATTGACAACAAAATGATAGCTATTAACAACGTTACTCTAACCATTGACAACAAACCAGATTTCTACTGACAGTAATAGCATTTTCTGTATTAAATGACAAGTCAACATTAAGGTCATACTTGCACTTAATGTTTGCTTGTCACCTAAAAAGCTTGCAACCCATGCATGCAGTACATATTACTTACACCCTCTGCATGCTGTGCATCATTTACATTAAACCCTTTGCCCAAAAAATTACAAAGGGGTCAAAATAACTAAAAATGTCGCCTGTTCTAACATTTACAGCCACTTTCATGCTGGGTTTGGGTTTTTGCAGGTCCTCCGTGTATAACCAGCTTCACCACAATTTGCACAGTGGCATATCTTCTTGTTCTAGAATTGTGATTCGCGTCTGTTAGCTCTTGGCCTTCCAGCAGGTCGACTAGTCTGAGGTGGGAACAGAAAAATTTGCTCTGAAATATTTTCCATCAAAATGGTATTTGGGTCAGGCCTGTCAATGGGGACCACTGGTATCATGCAGCGGGAGTAAATCTTTTCTTGGGATGTGATCTTGTAGTAATTTTCAACAAAGTCATAGACATTTCCATGCATGGACTTTATGGCTATACAAGCATGTGGACAAGGGATCCTCGACATTTGCCAAGCTGCACAACTACATGTGTATGCACCGAGATCAACACGCAAGGCTCCATGGGATGTGTGGACAACAACCCTGCCCCCACCATACGGTTCAGGCAACATATGTTCAGCAAGGGCAACATTTTTCTTTACGTGTTCATCAATATTTGGTCCTATTCCATTTCTCCATCTACCCATTGTCACACTAGCTGCATACATTTTTTTGGCTACCTTCTCACGGTGCTTATGGATAAACTGTGTAACGTTGTGCCTCCTTTCCTTTATCAACCAAGTATTAAATGATTCGGCAAGGTTTGTAGTTATATTGTCCCACGGTCGATATGGAAACTTACTCAATGCCCATTTTTCCACATCTCCATGAGTATTGAGCCACTGGAATAACTGTGGAGAGAAACAATGCATGTGGTCCATTGCCTTATCGAACTCACCATTAAGCCTTGCATATGCGATATTATCAAGCAATTGCAACCCATCTTCCTTCATGGACTTACTTGTCTTTCTCTTGCCTCTGTTTGCTTTAACTAGTTCTGCACTGAAGTTCTCCTTCACATGCCTATAGCAATATGCATGCCTCTCACTTCCAAATATTGCTCAGACAGCTGCTATGATTGAATTGTGACAGTCTGAAACTATTATTAACTGTCTAGAGCCAATGATATTTTTAATCATATACAGAAACCATGACCAATCCTCATATGTTTCCCTCTTTACAATGGCAATTGCAAATGGTAACAATTCATTGTCCGCATCATAAGCCGATGCTGACAGCAATGTTCCATTATATGGTCCACTTAGGTGAGTTCCATCCATATACGATATGTGCCTACCACCAGTTAAGAAACCCTCTATACAACACCCATAAGCTATGAAAACTCGCTCAAATATGTTATTCCCAGTAGCACCCATTCAGCAGTAGTTTTTTTCATCACTTTCCTTTAGTCTTTGACAAATCCAAGGTATTAGCATGTAAGATTGCTCAGGTCTGTCTTGTATTTCCTCCATTGCTTTTTCCTTAGCTTTATATGCTTGCTTGTATGTTAGATTCACCCCATAGTCTCTTTTCAACATTGTCATTATTTCAGTAGGCCGTTTGTCTATGTGATTCTTTACCTCATCAATTATAATTGCTGATGTCAAACTAGCTCTTCCACCATGGCTGACTTGGAGATTGTCTTGCGCACTATGCACATGTTCATTTACAAATGTCGTCACGCATAGGAAAGGAGTCTTCTTCCCCACTGCATTTGCACATATCTTCCATGGGCAACCTTCAACCTTGCATCTCACCAACATCTTGTCCTTACTATTCTTCACATACTTGAACTCAAAATCATGTGCTATTCTATATTTGTGCACTGACTTTTTAAACTCTTTTGTATGGGCAAAATTTTGCAGCTGTCCTAAAATCAATTCCCTCCATTTTGAACAATTCATCTCAAGATATGGTGTTGGTGCATACTGTACTCCACATGTTATATTGCTAGAACAGCCTCTAACTTCATACATTAAGGCCGCACCCATATCTTCATACCCCACTGGTTCATATTCAGTTTCCATACTGCTGAATGAGCCAGACCTTTCTTGTGACAGGCCCAACAATCTGTCAACTTTGCATGCACAGTGACAATTTCAGTAACGAAATTAACAACAATAATATAACAAATGACAACTTCTATAGCCTATTAAATATCACTTACATTTCCAGATCTTCTATTATATCAGCACCACTTTCTTTCTCTTTACATGCTACGTATAGATGGCCATGCCTCTCATTATACTGAA